TCCCAAACGCGCTCTCGTCAAGGCCGGGACCGTGGGGTTCAGCCTGACGGACGGGCTCAAGGCCATGCAGGAGGGCGGGCGGCTGGGCGATGGCGAGCTGCGGCGGCGGCGCGACCTGCTGTCGAGCGCCAAGGTCGAGAGGGAGGGGCTCGACAAGCTGAGCAACAGCTTCGGGTCGGCGCAGGTCGGCCACCAGGGCCAGGGCGGCGGCGGCGGCGGGCGCGAGGGCATCGCCCGCGCCGGCGGGGGGACAAAGGCGGCGCTGCTCGGGGGCGGCGGCGTCGCGGGGCAAAGGACCGGTGGCCGCCGTGCTTCGGCGCGCCGCTGCCCGAGACAGAGAGGGACGCGCGAACTCGACAACGAGGGCGTGCTGCAGCTGCAGAAGCAGATGATGGGCGAGCAGGACCAGCAGGTCGAGGGCCCTCGGCGCCATCATCCGCCGTCAAAAAGGAGATGGGCTTGCAGATCAACGAGGAGATTGAGGCGACGACCGACATGCTCGACCGCATGAACGAGGACGTCGGACGCGTCGGCGGCAAGATGCGCGTCGCCAAGAACCGCATCAAGAAGCTCTGACTGGGCGCCGTCCTTCTTCTTCTTCTTCGCGGCGTCCTCGGCGTGGCCGCCGTCGTGGTCTGGGCGCGCATGCTGGCCGGGGCGTGTGCGGATGTCATTGCGTGGTGTTTGGAGTTTGCCGTTATGGTTCTCGGGGCACGCGCCCGTCGATGATGAGCGCGGCCGGCGATTGTTTACTACTTGTACTCAGGTTCATTGACAGCATGTACTATCTAATACCAGACTGAGATGAGATGTGGACTTCTTAAGGTTGCATGAGAAATTGAGACTTGATACTGCGCCAAGATATTGGTTGGTGGTTTGACTTGCCGTGCTCCTTCATCCCGAAGGCCTTGAAACTTACCGGCTGTCGTTCCATTCTGCCTCCCTGGTTTTACATGATATATATACGTATATACGAGTCCCAGCTCGAAAATGCCCCGTTTGATCAATCCACAAGTTACACATCGCCTTGCCACCGCAATGGGTGGCCCCAACCTAAACAAAGACCGTCCCAAGTCCAACGTCGCCCGCAGCGGTCCGTCCCACGTGTCAGCTGCAGCGCTCGCATCCCTGTGCCGGCATCATTGCAACGCGGGGTCCGTTTCGTAATCTCTCTTCGCAAAAGCTTGACAAGCAACTTTGCAGCAGACACAAATACGCAGACTGAGTCTGTTTCCCCTTCCAGCCTGTTCTCGTTTTCGTCTCCTCGCACTCCGGATCTGGAAACGGACAGGTCACGAGCGCGGGCGCCAAAAGCAAGTCGCAGTGGTAGCGCTGGCTCCGCTGCGGTGGCGCTACGTCACTTAGCGCCGCGGAAGACGAGGGACGACCCGGGGTTGCTGGGCAACGGGCGTGATCCGTTGATGTGATGAGATTTCCGCTCGCATGGTGCCCTCCATGGGCTCTTGTTGGACTACTTTTTTCCGCTGTCGACTGCCATCTCATTTTGTTCTTCGTCCTCGCCAAGGGGTGGGTTCATCTTAGACGGACTCATTAGCGAGACACGCCTTCACGCTCCAGAGGCGAGGATCGCGGATTCCGTTTGAAGCTTTTCAGAGGCGTCTTGTTGCTGGCACCTCCAGCCGCCCGACAGAGGAAACCAATCTGGTCCCCCCCCCACCACCAGCTGCAAGAGCGTGCACAACGCCTGGTCCTGACTCTGGCTGCTGTTCCGCGATTCGCTGCACGTGTGGAGCGCAGGACGCCCATTGACCGCCATATGGGCATCACGGTGAGCCTGTCGGAGGGCGAAGCGTCATTTTTGTCGTGGGATTGGGTCGTCCGACATGTCCTCCAGTGAGGGGATTCGCCTTGGATGATGTGGCAAGGTCGACAGGCTCCGTTGTTTTGAAGATCCGAGTGGTCGGCCAGTCGACAAAGCCTGTGCACGATCCCGTTCGCTGGCTGTTGCCCAAAGCTCAGCACCCGAGAAAAGGAGAGACAAGGGGCCGAGGAGGGGGGGATCATGATGCGATGCGGAATATCCTGTTTTGTCTAAGCAGGCAGCCACGGAGGTTTGTGGGGGACTGGCTGTTCGTGAGAGAACAGGGGTGGAAGCTCTCGAGCTGCCTTGGGTGCCATGTGAAATGAGGGGAGAGTTTTGCGGGTTCCCGAGTTTGCCGTTGACGAACAGCCAGAGCTCAGGATTTTGCGTCCAACAGACGAACAATGGTAACGGTAATTGGCCTTGATGGTAGCGTCTTCTCTCTCCGCCAGAGGATTCTTGATGATCGTGCTTCACGGATCAAGCCGGGCGGGAGAGGGTGGCACTGGTACTGTTGTACCTGTAGTTCTGGCGCCTGTCAAAACGACCTCGTGGAACGCTGGCGCCAGCGACGATTACAGGGGCGCACAGCCACTGAAACCACCCACAACTAGGTATCTGCTCCTGCCCCGTACGGCGGACCGCCACTGCTACACCGCGCTATGCCCCTTATATGCAAGAGTCACCGTGGCCCGCCTCCACCTCTCCTGCCCCGGGGCGCACCACGACAATCGACTGGGCCCTTCCCCCCCCCCCTTCCCCCATGTGCCTTCCGACTCGAAAGTAAACACATCCTAGGTCCTTCCCCGACAAAAAGAATCTTCACCCCGTCGCTTGCTGCCGCCCCTGCCTCCCCCCTCAAGACCCTTTCTTGACACCATCGCCAACTCGTCATTACCAGCAGCTGCAATTGAACCGCGAACCTCTCTTGGCTCTACGCGAATCCCGCATCGCAAGTCGTAGCCAGACAGCCAGCCAGATCCGGGCCCCATCGGCTTTGGATACTGAACGACAATACGACTCAACAGCCTGGAGCTTGGACACCAGCGTTTCTCAACACGCTACATTTTGGGAGCCTGGCGTTCGTTGTAAATCTTCCTTTTTTTTGTAGGTACAAGAAAATTTCGTCTGGCCATCAAGTGAAGGTCCTGTTCTGTTTGGCAGAACACATACCTCGATCAACAATCAACCTTCCCCTACTGGCTGTTTTTACTCGGCTGAGTCAAGCTGACGAGCGCCATGGTAGTCCAATCTTCGCGACGTCACCAACACAAATGGCCACCAAAAGTCACCACCTTCGACCCCTCCGATCTTGACCTGCAGTCCTGAATTACTGCACACGCACTCTTGCCCTGAGCTCCCCGGCTCTGCTTGGCAACCGTGCTCCGAGCATCGACCCTGTCGTTCGACTGCCTTGGTATCTACAGCGGTGACCCCTGAAGGGCCTTCGTGCCTGACAACGCATCACAACAACGCAACATGAGCCACCAAGGTCCCCCGCCACCTCCGCCGCCCCATGGCGAGAACCCTAAAACCACGAGCGGCGGCGGCGGTGGTGGCCTGGGTCCTGGCAACTACGACATCTTCGTTATCCCGCAACGTGACAAGGGCGGAGGATTCATTTACCTGCCCTCCATGAGCCCCAACGGCCCCAGTTTCGCTGCTGGTTTTGCTTCCGCCCTGGTGCTGGTTGTCATATTCCAGAGCATGGCGCCAGCCTTTCAAGTATGGTGGAGCAACTTCCAAGGCATGGGCAGCATGGGCATGACTCTCCTGTTGATAGCAGTCGCCATCGGGGCGTGGGCCTGGGGTAAGTCGCAGGCCGCGCAGGCCGAGGCCTCTTCGTCAAACGCCGGTGGTCACGCCGGCGCCGGAGGCTCCTACGGTGCCCGACCGAATCCCCAGGCGCACAGCAGCCCACCTCCCAACACTGGTGGCCCCCCGCCCGCCTCCGCCGCCACACAACGAACCGCCCCCCTCGAACCAAAATCGCGGAGGAGGCCCCAAGACCTCCTGGCAACAAGCACCGCCTCAGCCGGAAGAAGCGCCCCCGCCGGAACCTCCACGGCCCGAGACGCCGCCTCCAAGACCAAAGACCCCTCCAAGACCAAAGACCCCTCCGAGGCCGAAAACGCCTCCGCCGAGGCCCAAGACACCACCCGCCAGGGCGAAGAGTCCGCCGCCAAAGCCCAAAACGCCGACGCCTGCGCCGCCTCCCAAACCGAAGGAGGATTCGACGTGGGAGAAGGCCCGCGAGGAAACCAGGAGGAGAGAGGCTGAGCGCAAGGCTAAGCTTGAGGAAGAGAAACGCAAAGCCGAGGCCGCCCGCAGGTTACGCGAGTTCCGAGAAAAGGAGGCTCGTGAACGAGAACGACGCGACAAGGAAGCTCGTGAGCAGCGGGAGAAGCTGGAGCGAGAAAATAAGGAGAAGGAAGAGCTCAAGGCGAGACTTGAGAAGGAGACGCGAGAACGAGAACGCCTCGAAAAGGAAAAGGCTGATAGGGAAGCCAAAGAACAGGAAGATGCTCGCAAGAAGGAGATAGAAGATCTTCGTAGGAAAGAGGCCTGGGAGAGGAAGAAGCGTGAGATGGAGCTCAAGATCAAGCGCGAGGCGGAGGAGAAGGCCAAACGCGAGGCGGAGGAGGCCGCGCAGAAGGCTCGTCAGGGAAGTACGTATGCTTACTCGGGGGTCGGCGAGAAGACCAGCCTCCGAGACGGCGCCCAAGCTCCAGCCCCCCCGTCTTCACCGTCGCCAACAAAGCCAGCTCCTTCTACAGCTCCGTCGAACAACGCAAAACGGCCGCCGGCCCCATCTGCCTCTGCCTCGGCGAGGACGCACTTGCGACCCGACGACGATGCGTACTCGTATCGTCCGTACGACACTCCCAAGTCGTCTCGCCGGACGGCGCCATCCTCCGTGGGCTCCGAATCGTCCTGGGCGCACTCTGCCACGACGGCCCGCACGACGCCGCCGCCTAGCATGCGCGGTCCGTACACGACGAAGGACCCCGACAAGATTGTGATCAAGGCGGTGTATCTGTTCATGAACCAGTACGCTAAGACGCCGGCTAGCAACTTGCTGTCAGGGATCGGTACTGTGACGGACGGCCTCATTCTCCGGATCACCACCGAGGGTCTCTTCATCGACGACGATGTTCGAGGCGTCCCGCAGCGAGAGTGGGATGTCAAAGCATGGACACTGAAGCTTGTCGAGGTATGGTGTCCCCCGCACTGCCTGTCTGGTTCTTCGTCTTCTTCTGCGTCTGGCCCATCTGCGAACCAACCGACGAGCTTTCTGCACAAGATGGCCCAAGCGCAGCGTGCTACTCGCAACTCGGCGGCGGACAGGGGCGCCAACAAGCCTTACCTCGGTGATGAGGCTGAGGTGTACCTGGCCGACATGTTAAAATCGTGCAGGAGTGCTGCCGTCTCGGCCTGTGCGAGAGCAAGCTACGCACGCGAACATGCCGTCTTCTGCCGGACAGTGGGAGAGTGGAAGTCCAAGGGGTTGCATGTGCTGCGGGCAACGGTGCGGGATCAGGAGGGCAAGCGCTACTTGTTCGTCGTGGACGAGGAGGAGGCGTGGAAGTTGTCAGTCGGTCTCTCTCGGCTGCGCAAAGGAACCCAGGTGCGTCAACTGGGGGTCAGCGGCATGACGGCGACGGATGCGAGAACAACGCTCGACCTGCTGGGTTGGTTGTAGTTGGATGGTGGAAGGTGATTGAGGCCCTGTCGGGCGACGACAAGAAGGTAGGCTGGAAATTCATGCAGCAGCGCGGCGTTTTGATAGCGGGATGCTGTTACGAGAAGGGGCATCTGGAATGCGTGGCAATTTGGATGCATAGCAGAGCGCGGAATGCATTGAGCGTCTTGGCAGTAACCCGTCATGATACCCTGGCGGAACAGGCATACAGACTGTTTAACCACATATACACGTTTTCTAATCAACTCATTTACGACGGATCAAGTGCTTCAAGCAATACAGGTGAGACTCGAGTCTTGAGGCGAACTTCATGAAGCGGACGAAGACTGCCGATGCCAATCGTGGGTAACATACCAGCCCGCCCCGTCTCCGACCTTTTCTCTTTTCACACTAGAGGACATGTGCCTTGATCAATTCCCGAACCGCTCTCCGTCTTCCGGCTCGTCATGGAAGGCCTCCGGAACACTCGGCTTGAGGAAGCGGCGCGTGGACATGATGGTGAAGAGGACGCTCCGAGGGCATCACGTCAGGGGCGATGTCACGTAATGTCATGCGTCGAACGTTAAGCTCTGACGAACCAAGAATGATTCCGAGTCCGTTACTGTTGTCAACTCCCATTATCTCACGCAACATCTTCCATGCTCAGGTAGAGTTAATTCCAGAAGATAGGCCCCATGGAGACGGATCCTCCCCTCCCCACCCTGCGCATCTCGGGCAAGTCAGTGCAGGTCCCGTTCTGGTGGGTGGGAAGTGGCACCTCGTGTGTGATAAGGAAGAGGAGTGGATTTCCCACGTGGTTCCCATATGGGCAGAAAGAGAGAGAGAAAGAGGGAGCAAGACGAGGGGCGTTAATCACTATTTCCTTCCATTGGGTCTTCCCTTATCTTGGACGATATGTGCATGACGTACTTGGTATGACCGCCCCTCGGATAGCGTAGGCAGAGAGGCTTTCAGGTGAGCCCGCGGTCTAATCGGGCTTATTCCCACATGTTCGCCTGCAGGAAACGGGTTCATGTTGCGAGAGAGGTCGAGTTACTCCGTCAGTCTGCTCTTAGGGCCATGGGCGGAGCGAACATGAACACCCCCCCCCCCCGTCTCCTCCCCAATTGGAGAGCGAGTTGGAGTTTGGGCGCAGTCTCGTTGGAGTCAATAGACGGGGAGCTCTTATCTCGCGCTAGCGGACAAAGGGCGTCGGAGAATCCATCCAGTGGTGATTGATCTTTAGGTACCCAGGGGGGGCGCCGCGCTATTGCAATCGTCCTCGGGTTCAGGAACGCGCTGTTTGGGCGCCTGGCGGATCGGGCCCGGCGACGAAGCCGACTCGATGACCGTTGGGACCGGATTGTCGGGATGATGGGGACCTTGGACGAGTTTCATGCGCTTTTATTCATGTCCTTGGTGAACGCGGGCGCCTGTCTTGAGAGTTTATTTGTGTAGTGGTGGATAAGGCTGTGCTTCGGAAACACGACTCGACACTGCAAACTTGCTTGTACTATATTAAACTTTCAGGACGTTTGTTCATAAACTCCACCTAACGTGACTGATGTTGTCGAATTAACATAACACTCCATTGCCCGTCTTGCCTTGGCCATGAATGATCATTGGGCCTCCAGCTGCAAACAAGTCAAACCCGATGTCGGAACCGATCAATGCCCGAAAGAGGAGCTCTTATCAGTCGACGTTCGAAGCCGCTGGGGTATCAGAATCGATAGCGCACCTTTGACATGGCCCCCAGCATAACCCCACGATGGACATCGCATGGCGTGACATCCAGGAACCAGGGCGGCGGCCGTCGGGCGAGGGGCAGTGAAGTCCTACCATGGGCCCTTTGCTTCGGAATCCGGGTGTGTTGAAGAGCTGCGCCAAGATTATCACCGCACGTAACCCCCCGCGAGCTGGCGAGGCGGTTCAATTTGGCCCGGGGGTCGCTGCTGATAAGGCCTTGTCTTGCATGCGCAATCCCAGCTGCCAAATGCGGTCTGGACGGCCAAGGCTTCGTTTCCTTGGTGTTAGGCAGTCCTAGTCATGACCTCGCGACTGGGATCGTCAGCGCGGGAGATGGGCCAAAAGACAAACAGGGCCAGCTTGTCGCTGGCCCAAACCGCCGGCCTGTCATTGATTGCGACGCGACGTTGTGACCCCTCTTTGCAGGGCCCTTTGACTAGTACAGGCTGCCGGAGTATAGAAGAAGTCGGGAGATGCAGTCCTCCTTGAGACGATAGATGTGTATAGCCAGAGCGAAAAAAAAATCGAAGCCCCGCAAAGCCGAGAGACACCAAGCATCGTCATGCGCTCCTTTGCCCTCCTCAGC